TTTTTTTATTGTAAAAAACATTTTAAAAATCCAAAAAAACCCTTTAAAAAAAAAAAAAAAAAACTGTTAAATTGAAATGGGATATCAATGGTTTTTCATGGACCATCAATTCAAGGACCTTTATTTTTAAGAGATATTAATTCATTTAGTTCAGTTTCAAAGGCATTTGTTTTAAATGTAGATTTTAATTGTTCATAAAACACTTAAAACTCACTTTAGCTATCTAAAAGCACTGAGTAACTCATATTCAAAGTTTAGCCAAAAGTCTAGTAATATGATACTTATTCTTAGTTACTATAAAATACAACATTAATGTTTTTTTTCTTCTTTTTTGCTTGCAAGATGTGAATATGTATTTAAACATTTGTTATTGATAATAATATTTCAGTATATTCTAAACTATAAACTATAATTGGTTTGATACCTTGTTGCCTAATATTTAAGATCTTTTTTAAACTCATTCCAAATGGTTCTGAGATCAACAATCATAAAATGTTCTTCAAACCCATATTCTACCGGAAGGAGGAGCTATACGATTCATGTTTTTCATTAGCCAGCTCCTGCTATATATGAGTTAGTTACATCTTAGGAAGAAATTTGCAGCATTGATTCTCAATGTCTTTTTTGTTCATTCATTGGTGAAATGTTGTCCCTGGTCTTGATCATTATCTCTCTGCTCAAAGGTCAGTTATTCATACTTTTTTTTTTTTTTACTTTTAATCCAAAGGTTGTGTGAAATTCTGTATTAACACATTAACATCTTAATTTAAGGAACAATCTATATAGCATTATTGTTTCTTCTTCTACACAGAGAATGCTGACGCAAATACAATAAATCCACTGGTCCCAGAGAAGCACATGACAGCAGGAGACAATGTTACCCTCTCATGTGAATACAGTGGAGGTGTTAGCACACTGCAGTGGTATCGACAATATCCAGGATCTCGAATAGGGTTTCTCATTTTTGCCACTGAGCTCAGTGGCCGGTCAGAGCCTGCACTTCGACTTTCATCTACAGCTGATAAAGGAAACAAATGGATGCATCTGAACATCTTTTTAACAGAAATGGACGATTCTGCGCTGTACTACTGTGCCCTGGTGCCCACAGTGATGGGAAACACTGCAACACTGTACAAAAACCAGAAACTATACTAGCATCAGATTTCAACAGACACTCCACTTAAATCAAATAATAAATAATATTAAGCATGAAAGTGGTTTTTCAAAATATACATTTCAACTTATAAATGAAATCAAATTAAGTACCTCTGAGTATGAAATGACTGACAATAGGCAATGGCTGAAAAAAGTAGCAAAAATGATAAATATCAATATTTTGGGAAGGTAATATTTATTGATGAATGAATTACAAGGTCAAATTTACTCTCAATTATCAAATCAATTTTTAATACTGACTTAAAGAATAGGAGTGTGTCCGAGGTTGTTAGTAAATGGGGTTTGCAAACCGAGAACTGACGCTTCTCATTTAGAACTGGTTCGTTTAAAAGTCAAGTCAAGTCAAGTCCAGGCCAGTCCATTCCAGTCAGTCAGTCAGTCAGTCAGTCAGTCAGTCAGTCTCACAAAACAGGCATTATATATTCAGGTTAAAGAACAAATAACTCTTATGAGCTGGTTCTTTCTAGTGAATCAAAAAATTTACAATCGCTCTGATCGCTGGACGGATTAGTCAGTTTTTTGTAGTAAAACAATCACATAGTTACATCTAAATTACTGAGAGATAAATTTGAAAAGTTGAATTCTTTTTGATCCCCATTCCTGCTGTTGGGGGAAGAATAAAACTTTATATGTAATCCCTCAAACCTGTCAGAAGGAGGAGCTCTTAGTGTTTTTCATTTCTGACATCTAAGTGTGCTGTCATTCTGTGAGTTAAAACAACATTATGTGGGTCTATTTACCTTTGCTCCTTTCAGCACTTGCAGGTGAGAATGTTTTTCTTTCCATATTAATTCTTCATATAAATTTGTCATTCATTAACATTTTAAATTGTTTAGGGTTTAAATATATATGAATACATTTTTTGTTTGACAGGAGACTCTCTTGGTGATTTAATAACATCTCATAATTCTAAAAAACAAGCTCAAGATGGTAACAGTGTTACTCTCTCCTGCAACTACACTGGTGCTGTTTATAATCTACTGTGGTATCGTCAGTATCAAAGATCCAAACCAGAACTTCTTCTCTCCATGACTGAATCTGGAGATCCAGTTAAAGAAGATCCATCAGCCCACTGGTTATCTGCTAATGTTGACAAACTCACAAAGCTCATGGAACTGGAAATCAGCCCTGCTAAAGTATCAGACTCTGCACGGTATTACTGTGCCCTGCAGCCCACAGTGACAGGAAACCCTTTTCTCCTGCACAAAATCTTGCCAATGGTAGAGCTTAACATCTAAAAGCTGATAGACTGGCTGACAACATATTTGACTTTTATTCAACTGTTTTTATTTATTTTATTTAACTGTATTTTTTTTCCAATCAGAAATCTGTAGCTTTGACAAAAGTATTACTATATTGTGGGGACCCGAGTTGGTCTGACATAAAAATGTGAAAAATAAAAACATGTTATGACAGTACTCAACTAAGCACATTTAAATAGGTACAATGTAGAAACTATTCCTTTCCTTTTGCCCAAAATGAGCAATGACAGGACATACAGTGAGCATAGAAAAGAATAACCCCCCTTTAAAATAATCACATTTTGTTGCTTTGCAGCCTGAAATGAAGACGGACACATTTTGTTTTATCCAGCTGTATTTACTCAGTGCAACTTATAACATCCAAGTGAAATATATAACTCCAACATGTCATGTGGGGACCCGAGTTGGTCTGACATAAAAATTTGAAAAATAAAAACATGTTATGACAGTACTCAACTAAACACATTTAAATAGGTACAATGTAGAAACTATTCCTTTCCTTTTGCCCAAAATGGGCAATGACAGGACATACAGTGACATACAGTGAGCATAGAAAAGAATAACCCCCCTTTAAAATAATCACATTTTGTTGCTTTGCAGCCTGAAATGAAGACGGACACATTTTGTTTTATCCAGCTGTATTTACTCAGTGCAACTTATAACATCCAAGTGAAATATATAACTCCAACATGTCAGACATTTAAAAAAAAATAAACAAACAGAATCACTGAGTTGGAAAAAGGATCACCCCCCTCCTAAAAATGACTTGTAAACTCAATCAGGTGTAGCTAATCCTTGGTAGTGCAACTGAAGCAAACAATCAACTATGGGTCACTTTTCAAGTCACCTTTATTTGTATAGCGCTTTATACAATACTGGTTGTGTCAAAGTTGTGGACAGGCTCAAGTCAGGAGATGCATCCAACAAAAATTCAAAGGCTTTATCAATGCCTAGAAGCACAGTGAAGTCTATTAGTGGAGGGTATTTGGTACAACACAGTCGCTCCCTGGATCAGGACGTCACTCCAAACTGGATGAAAGAGCCAGGAGGAAACTGGTCAGAGAGGCGACCAAGAGGCCTACAGCAACTCTGAAGCAGTTGCAGGAATTTATGACAAAGAGTGGTCATTGTGTACATGTGACGACAATATCACAAATTCTCCACTCCTCAAGAAAGGCCACATGCAGTCACGACTGAGCTTTGCCGAAGCGCACCTTGAAGATTCTGAGGCGGGTGAGACTAATATTGAATTATTTGGCCTCAACACCAAACGATATGTCTGGCGAAAATCCAATAAAGCTCACCATCCAAATAACAGCACTCCTACAGTAAAGCATGGAGGTGGTAATATCTTGTTATGGGCTCTGCAGCAGGGACTGGAGCACTTGTCAGGATAGAAGGAACAATTAATGGGGCAAAATACTGTCAAATTCTTGAGGCAAATCTGCTGCCCTCTGCCAGAAAGTTGTCAATTGGAAGAAGGTTTACCTTCCAACATGACAATGACCCAAAGCACACTGCAAAACTGACCACACAGTGGTTGAATGAGAAAAAGATGAATGTCCTTGCATGGCCTAGTCAGAGCCCAGATTAAAACTCCATTGAAAATCTGTGGAATGACTTGAAGACTGCAGTCCACAAATGGTCACCATCAAATTTAACTGAACTTGAGCAGTTCTGCAAAGAAGAGTGGACAAATATTGCAAAGTCTAGATGTGCAAAGTTAGTAGAGACAGAGATATATCCCAACAGACTATTACAGGCTGTAATTAAAGCAAAAGGTGGTTCAACAAAATACTGACAAAAGGGGGTGATCCTTTTTACAACCCAGTGATTCTGTTTGTTTGTTTTTTTATATATATATATATATATACAAACAACATTATATACATTTATGACATGTTGGTGTTATCTTTCACTTGGATGTTACAAGTTGCACTGATTAAATACAGCTGGATAAAACAAAAACTGTGTCCGTCTTCATTTCAGGCTGCACAGCAACAAAATGTGATTCTTTTAATGGGGGGTGTTTCTTTTCTATACCCACTGTACTATGTGGGAGGAGCTCAGCGTTTGGTAGACTCCAGCAGAACAAATCAAAAATACAACACTGACGTACCTTCATACAGATTCTGATAGAATCCTGAACTAAAATGTTTCTCATCTATTCTGTTTTAATATTTCTCCTAAGCTACGGTAAGTACTATTACTTATATACATCTCAAACTACTGAAAGAATAAGCTATTTATCAAAGTGGTGTAAATTTCCATTTAAAAGTTCTGGAGATGTTGTTCGTGTATTTATGTCCTCATTTAGTGAGACGACAGATGCTGAAATCACCGCGAGCGTCGCGTGCGCTTCAGTGTGTGTGTAGTAAACGAAACCGCGCGTCATTCATACATACAGAGATATGATCGCGTAATATGAGTTAATGCTCATCAGATCACGTAAATCAGTGGAAAATTAATAGAAATGATGATTCTGTGTAAAGAAATATCAAGTAAACTTGTATAAAAATATCAGTATTTTTCCAAATATGAACTAAACGCTCTAATGGAAGAAGTTCAGTGACGCTTGCACGTGACTGCCTGCCTGCCAACCAGAGGCGGCACAAAATTTGGCGGAGGCGGCCGCCTCATAATTCTCTATGCAGGAAAAACCCTGACAGTCGGATTTCTAAGAACCCTTAATCTACTGGAATATTGAATTCCTTTGGAAGTTATTTTTTTTTTTAACTAAAAGGCTTTATGGTTATTTTTGGAAATAGACATGCGATCTTTAAAATTAAAACATTGTTTTCATCATGTTACTGTAAAATAACATTGCAATATATTTAACAAAAATAATCAATACATTTTTGCCTACTTTTGTTATTATAGAAACATCCAGGAAAAAGCTGTTAATGTTTAAAATGTGTTTAATTTGCCTGATTTAAACTAGTGAGCACGAATTTAACATGCAATCTGCCAGAAGGTGGAGCTCTAGGTTCAGTCATTTCAAAACAGAGCACAGACATAAACTTATTATGTCTGTGAGTTAAGAGTTAGTTGAGGAAAGTCACAAAGGCCTTTTTGTTTCTTGCTGGTGTAGATGTTTCTCCTGGTCCTCTTGATATTTCCTCCTCTTATGGGTAAGTAATTTATAAGAATACCTTCCAAATAGAAAAATACTAATTTTGAATGGTAATGTGTCAATAAATCACCTGTTTACACTTTTTTTTTTCAAACAGAGAATGCTGATGCTGAAGTGATAACCTCATTCTTCACAAAGCAGCATGTTTTGGCAGGAAAAGATATTACTCTTTCCTGCAATTACAGTGGCTATGTTCAAAATTTGCAGTGGTATCGTCAGTATACCGGATCCAACCCTGAGAATATAATTTTTTATACTGAGACAAACAGTCAGTCAGAGCCCAAGCTTCGTCTGTACGCTGTGGCCGATAAACGAATCAAACTTATGAATTTGAGCATATCTTCTACTCAAATGGATGATTCTGCTCTGTACTACTGTGCCCTGCAGCCCACGGTGACAGGAAATACAACTGCACTGTACAAAAACTTTCTTATGACCTATTTTTACTAGAAGGCACTTTCACACCAGTTTTTCTTAATTGTCTTTCCTGACTGATACGATGTGATGCACTTTTTTTAACAAAAAGAACATAATTTGTCACGTTTCTGACAAACAAATTTGATTCTAAACACTTGGTGTCACTATCAATCACAGCGAAGTCTCATGAGATATCATCTCTGCTGCTGAATTAGTTTATTACATTTTTGCCAGCTTCCCAATGCTATTAACAGATATTTGCAGAATTTAAATTTAACTGACAAAGAGCCTCATTAATACAACGACGAGTTTGTCCTGGTAATGCAGCTAAGTCTGATGCTGTGTTCATGTTCTTATACTTGTAGAAATGTTTCAATAACGTACATTGCACATTATGCATAAATCTGTGGTTTTTGTAAAAAAAAAAATGGGCATGCAGAGTGCTCGTGCTCTTGATTAATGTTAATTAACATTGCTTCATAACATGAAAAAGTAACCTCAATGACCATTTTACTGTGTTATTGCTGATGCCTGATGTAATGCACCATTTTCTTGTGAATTATTAGAAAGTACACTAAATTACATAGCCTGCATAATAGTATATGTAATAAATAAATTACCTATATTACCTATATACACAAAATGTAGAATCATTTAGGTGGCCCCTGACATGTTGGAGACTTAAATAGCTTAAATGTTAATAATTACCATAAATTTCAGGTCAATTTCAGGTTAAAGCACACCACTTATATATATACACAAGTTTTATATATAAACTTTTTTAAAGTTCCCATGTGTAACAATCATTAATTTTATGTGCATTATTCTGCCAGAAGATGGAGCTCTAGGAATCTTTTCACTCTGAGTTCAGTTGTTTAAAAACAGCAGACACACTAGTCAGTCATACTCTAGAAGGGAACTAACTGTAAGTCTTGACTCTCATTAGTGTAGATGTTGCTCCTAGTATTCATTATATTTTCTCTTCTAAAAGGTGAGTGAATTATAACAATTACTTTGGAAGTGTTCTTTCCATATTCTGTTGACAGTCTAAATTAGTCCATTATAAATAACGAATTACATTTTTTAAAAACAGAGAATGCTGCTGCTGATGTCATAAAACCAGTCTACACACAGAAGCAGGTTTTGGCAGGAAAAGATGTTACACTGATCTGTAACTACACTGGCACAGTTCAGAGTTTACAGTGGTACCGTCAGTATCCCGGATCCAAACCTGAGCACCTCATTATGTTCTTTGAAACCAGCCCTAAATCAGAGCCCACTCTCCGTCTGACCGCTGCGGCTGATAAAGCAGCCAAAAGTATGAATTTGATGATCTCTTCTACAGAAGTGAAAGACTCTGCCATGTACTACTGTGCCCTGCAGCCCACAGTGACAGGAAATACAACTAGACCAAACAAAAACTGAACGAGTAATGATATTAAACAGAAGAACATGATTTAAAAACATTATATACAATATTTGCACTGTACAACTATCAAATGTTTCAAGCATTAATTTGCTGCTCGTAATAGTGTAATATTAGATAAATTAGACTAACACAACATCATTTTTAGCTTGTAGACTACATCTTCCTATACAGTATTGGTAGGGTGGGTGAGATGAGCATGTAGGTCTGTGTGGGAGGAGCTCAATATTTTTAAACTCCAGCAGAGTAAATTGGACACAAAAACTTCATACAGATCCTGAGAGAAGTCGGAACTCAAACTATAGAATCATGTTACTCATCTCTTCTGTTTTAATATTTATCATCAGTTACTGTAAGTAGTATTACTCATATACATTTTGCACTGTATTCCAGAACATAACAAAAATACCTGTTTGTTTTGTTATAAATTTATTCCATTATATTGCTTGATTCTTTGTCATCTTTGCAGGTAAAGCGAATGGGAATGTCATCAGACCAAACCAAGTGTCTGTAGTGTTAACTGAAGGAAGCAGCACCACTCTGTCCTGTACATATGATGGATCAGCTTAGTCTCCACTGGTATCGGCAGAAGCCTGGATCAAAACCAGATTTTCTGCTGCTGATTGCTGAGTCTTCTAAGTATGTCACAAGAGCTGACCAACCTCATCCACATATGTCCATCAGACTCCATGACAATAAAAGTGTGGATCTGGAGATCTCCTCTGCTGCTACCACTCTGTCCTGTACATATGATGGATCAGCTTACAGTCTCCACTGGTATTGGCAGAAGCCTGGATCAAAACCAGATTTTCTGCTGCTGATTGCTGAGTCTTCTAAGTATGTCACAAGAGCTGACCAACCTCATCCACATATGTCCATCAGACTCCATGACAATAAAAGTGTGGATCTGGAGATCTCCTCTGCTGCTGTATCAGGCTCTGCTGTGTATTACTGTGCTCTGCAGCCCACAGTGACAGGAAAACCAACTACACTTTACAAAAACCTTCTTGTCATTTGTCTGTTGCATAGTCATATTCCATTATGCTTCTGATCTAATATGGCTTTTAAACATACTGGCCATTGGAAATAATAACTGGCCATTATCAGATGTATTTAATTTTACTCTATTTAGCAAGGACATTTCTCAAAGAGAAAAAAATATAATTCAGGACTATAATCATAATCAATACAAAAATGGACTACAAAATACCAAGACAACCAATCACCATCCAGGATAAAAGAAATTCAATATGTTCCTTAAAATGAAGCTTGGAATAAATACAAAAGTTGTTTAAGACACATTTCTCTCTGATAAATTACTAGAATGTTCAAATAGGCCATTGTTAAAATGACTACAGTACAGATGTACACAGTTAAGACCGCACCTAGACTACTGAATTTATAGTTACTTTTGTAGATAGAAATGTAATCTGTTTATCATGTTGCTGTACAATAACTTTGGTTGTTTTAGTTACATTCAAAAAAGAATGACATACTTAACCAGTGGTTACCACACACATTCTACATGGTCTCTCTCTCTCTTTTTTTACATATATTATTAAATAAGATTTACATCAGAGAGACCCAGTTATGCATTACTTTTGCCAGAAGGTGGAGCTCACATTTACATTATTTCAAAACAGAGTGCAAATACAAACGGAGTCAGTTCGGAGGAAACTGTAAATCTTGACTCTACAGGCTTTTTGTCTCATTGATGATGATGTTGCTTCTGCTGGTCCTCATGATATTTTCCATTTTTAAGGGTGAGTAATCCATGAGAACAATTTCCAGATTATTGATTTTGACGGGGTTAATGTGTTAATAAACCAACTATTTTATACTCTTAATTAGATCATGAATTGTAATGTTTTTTAATTTTTTTTTTTAAAACAGAGAATGCTGATGCTGAAGTGATAACCTCATTCTTCACAAAGCAGCATGTTTTGGCAGGAAGAGATGTTACACTTTCCTGCAACTACAGTGGCAATGTTCAAAATTTGCAGTGGTATCGTCAGTATCCCAGATCCAAACCTGAGAATATAATTTTTTACACTGAGAGCAACAGTCAGTCAGAGCCCAAGCTTCGTCTGTATGCTGTGGCCGATAAAGGAATCAAACGTATGAATCTGAGCATATATTCTACGGAGCTGGATGATTCTGCTCTGTACTACTGTGCCCTGGAGCCCACAGTGACAGGAAATACAACAGCACTGTACAAAAACAGACAATCAGGACACACTGTAATTACCAAACATTACCAACAAGTACCACTGTGTACAATAAGGAAAAATAAAAGAAAAATGAAGAGAGCTGGTATCAACCAGTTTAAAGATCTTTGAAACTTGTGGTTACAGTACTTTAAAACTGTATATTTTCCACATACCTGTACAGCTGATTGTCCAAAAGTAACATTTTATTTTTTATGAAATCATTATGTATGACTAAACAACAGCCGTACTGTATTTACAAAACCTTCTTTTTAATTAGAGAGTAAACTAAAGTGTATTCACAAACAGTCAGTATTTGTAGGGACAACAAGGAGGTATGTGTGGGAGGAGCTCAAGGTTTTGTCAGCTTCAGTAGAAGAAATCATTGAGACAACACTGACTTCCCTTCATGGAGAAGTCTGAACTCAAACTACAGAATCATGCTACTCATCTCTTCTGTTTTAATATTTATCCTCAGTTACTGTAAGTACTGTTAGTCATACACATCACATATTGCACCATATTTCAGAATATCACTAGAATATATACATCAAAAATATACACATTTTTTATTCATTCTAAACATAATCCATTATATTGCTTGATTCTTTGTCATCTTTGCAGGTAAAGCGAATGGGAATGTCATCAGACCAAACCAAGTGTCTGTAGTTTTAACTGAAGGAAGCAGCACCACTGTCCTGTACATACAGTGGGTACGGAAAGTATTCAGACCCCCTTAAATTTTTCACTCTTTGTTATATTGCAGCCATTTGCTAAAATCATTTAAGTTAATTTTTTTTCCTCATTAATGTACACACAGCACCCCATATTGACAGAAAAACACAGAATTGTTGACATTTTTGCAGATTTATTAAAAAAGAAAAACTGAAATATCACATGGTCCTAAGTATTCAGACCCTTTGCTGTGACACTCATATATTTAACTCAGGTGCTGTCCATTTCTTCTGATCATCCTTGAGATGGTTCTACACCTTCATTTGAGTCCAGCTGTGTTTGATTATACTGATTGGACTTGATTAGGAAAGCCACACACCTCGTACCCACTGTATAATGGATCAGCTTACAGTCTCCACTGGTATCAGCAGAAGCCTGGATCAAAACCAGAGTTTCTGCTGCTGATTGCTGAGTCTTCTAAGTATGTCACAAGAGCTGACCAACCTTATCCACATATGTCCATCAGACTCCATGATGATAAACGTGTGGATCTGGAGATCTCCTCTGCTGCTATATCAAACTCTGCTGTGTATTACTGTGCTCTGCAGCCCACAGTGACAGAAAAACCAACTACACTGTACAAAAACTTGTTTCTTGCATATTGTATAGTCATATATCCAGGCACGTGCACACACAGACATCAAAGGGGGCTTGAGCACCTACCCTTTTTCTACCTCAAGAGAAAGTGCCCTTTTTTCTTGGGGAGTTTTTTTTTTTTTAATAAATGAATATATGTAGGCTATATATGTGTGCGTGTGTGTTTCTGTTTGCGCATAGCTTTCCCTGTCAAACAAAAAAAAAAATCTAAATATCAGGTCGGGTTTATTAACTCTGTCGAGTTCCGATGCCTTTCTCCGCGTCTCTGCAGCACAGCAGTGTAGCGCACATTGATAGGCACATCACAGACAGACAGACAGCCGCAGAACAGTGATGCAAAGTCCGACTCATTTCCGCAAACCAGTTCTTTTTGGACAGATTGGCTCATTGAACTGGTTCAAAAAGCCGATTCATCGGTTCCTGACGTCATCAAGCAATAACGTCTCTACGCATTTCTTTTCTAACAACTTAGTGCAATGTTGTGTATCAGTGAAAAATTCAAATAAGTCATTTGTGTCAACACATATGAAACATTCAAAAATAAAAGTTATTTGTGTAAAAGCATATTGCTGATTATTACCATATAATTCACTTAAGTTAATGGTGTTTGTGGTCACAGTTTCATTCGCGGATCCTTTATGTCAGATAAAGTACTGCTTAGACCGATGGGTGTGTGTCATCAAAGTACTGCGAGAGCTATAAGAGAGCGCGGACGTCTCCTTATGTTTTCTCTCACCATACTTTGATGTCATACACCGATCGATCTTCATGTCGAACACACCTCTTTACTCTCGCGTGTCACGTGACCGAGTGTAATCACAGCCTCTGCGATTGAAAAATCGCGTTTTTTCATATCGCGATATTATCGCTGACTTATTATTCTAATGGACTGATTCAATTTAAGAATTTGACTGAAAAGATGATGCACACTTTTAGAAAAAAAATGGCTTAAAAAAGGTAAAAATGCCCATTAAAAGGTAAAAAACCATTTAAACTTATTGGAAAAGATTAATTCATATCACTGTGAACTGACCACCACACAGAATATGCAGAATATCAAAAACTTTTTGGAGTCAGCTGTCCACTGTAGTCCTTAAGATATCAACACAATAACACACTCAGCAAAATATCATCTAATTATCGTTATCGATAAAATCCCAGAAAATATTGAGATATATTTTTGTCAATATCACACACCCCTAATATATTTAACGTTTTGTTTAGAAAAAAAATGTAATAAATATGAGAAGTGCCCTTTTTTCCACTTGAGCCCCTGCCCCTCAAAATGTCTGTGCACGTCCCTGCATATATCTAAGCCTGCCCTCATGCAGTGTCTCAGTGTTTTTTTAACTTTCCGTTCCTTATAAGGTGGTTTTCTCTGAGAATTACTGTACCATTTTAGCAAATGTTATGCACCATTTACTTATTTATTGGTCATTTAAAGCCACTGTTACAAAACAAAACATATTATAATTTACAATAAGTTAACCAGTACACCATAGTACTAGAAAACATTATGCAAAATTTGGAAGGAAAAAAAAACTGCATACAAGCATGAAACTAAATTAGTATTCATTATACAAAAATCAATAAAACAAAACAAATAAGAGTTTAAAGTAAGCAAAAATTGCCGCTTTAGTTTAGGGACTAATTCTCACTATTAACTAGTTGCTTAATAGCATGCATATTACTAGCATACTGGCTGTTTATTAGTGCTTACAAAGCACATATACTGCATGACCATATTCTACATGAGATATTGTAGCAAAAGTCATCTCATATGCATTCTGCTGCCAGAAGGTGGAGCTCCAGGAACCATCCTAGTTCAATCTCGGTTCAGTTGTTTAAAAACAGAGCAGACATAAATAGTCAGTCATACTCTAGAAGAGAACTGTTAGTCTCTCATTAGTGTAAATGTTGCTCCTGGTATTCATGATATTTTCTCTCCTAAAAGGTGAGTGATTCATAACAATTACTGTGGAAATTGTTTTTTTCCCCTCCTTTTTATACTGTTGAAAATCTGAATTAGTCCATTAGAAATTATTAATTAAAAATGTATTTTAAACAGAGAATGCTGCTGCTGATGTCATAAAACCAGTCTTCACAGAGAAGCAGGTTTTGGCAGGAAAAGATGTTACACTGATCTGTAACTACACTGGCACAGTTCAGAGTTTACAGTGGTACCGTCAGTATCCCGGATCCAAACCTGAGCACCTCATTATGTTCTTTGAAACCAGCCCTAAACCAGAGCCCACTCTCCGTCTGACCGCTGCGGCTGATAAAGCAGCCAAAAGTATGAATTTGACCATCTTTTCTACAGAAGTGAAAGACTCTGCCATGTACTACTGTGCCCTGCATCCCACAGTGACAGGAAACACAACTACACTGTACAAAAACGTGTTTCTTGTATATTGTACAATCATGTTTGTAGCAGGGAGGAGCTTCTTCACATGCAGAGTCTCTTTTCCCACTTTCCGTACATTTGCTGTCGGGCCATAATGTTGTCTTTCTGAGTACTTTACGATTTTAGCAAATGTTCGTAGGGGTGGGCTATATACCGGTAGACACGATTAACTGGTAGAAATTTATCAACCGGTAGAGATTTTAGACTATGGTCTCTATCACGGTTACACGCTCACATGACGTTGCTGTGCTACATGGTCACGAAAACTTGTTTACACATGTTTTAAGCATTGCATTTTAAAAACAATATATTTTAAGCCATTGAAACCCAATCAGCAGCAAAAGAGAACTCCTTTCGCTATATGCGCGCGCACGTGAAGACGGTGCTCATGGAGCGCGGGAGTATTGAACTGAGCTATTTTTGCTGCTTTATACACACACTTGTATGTGTCAAAATGCCCGTCTTTGCAAGTATCCTTGTAAACACAGTACTTTAGGTCTTAAGTGAAAGCAAACAGCTGAGAAAGAAAACGTGTAATATATTGGATCCGGGCAGCTCTTACAGCAGTCTAATATTCCTGCTGTCTGTCATTCATGTTAATCAAACAACAAAAGAGAGAAAATATCTCCCTCTTGAGAAAATATCACTCGACTAAATCACTTTTGTAACTTTAATAAGAAGAAATATATATTTAATTTTCACAGTGAAGAATATGCAGTGTTTTTATACATTTGATTACTTTATAATGTAGTATTGCTTATTTATTTGTTCTACTGTAGTTTTTTTTCTTTCCCTATTGCTTGTAATTAGTATCTTATTCTTATTTAAACGCTGTCTGTTTACTTGTCTTCAGGAAGTATTAGTTTTTTTGTGATATTGACACTGGTGACCAGAATTATGAAATTTCTATAGTATCAAAATTTTGATATCATAAAGACCTTAAATAAAGCAAAAACAACTACACTGTGATGTATATATTGTTACTGTGAAATAAAATTACTTATATCGTGCAAGATTTTGGTCATATAGCCCACCCCTAAATGTTAGAATACTATTTACTTGTTAATTGCTGCTCATTTAATGCCATAATTAAATAATAATAATAATAAATAATGAAATAATTACAAGACAAACACACTATAATTTACAATACCATAAGTCAACCACATAGTATGAACCTATATAATATAACGTATATGTAAAATTCAGCAAAATCAGGTGGTCCCTGACATCAGGTTGTTAAAAAAAGGTTGTAAGCATGAACCTTACTTAGTATTACTTATACGAAAATTAATAAAACAAAACAAATAAGTAAAAGTTCCTTATAGGTCTATAGACAGGACAAATTCCTGCAGATGAGACTTTGCTTGACTAACTGTCATCATTTTGCCACTTGATTTATTTGCACAGTAAACATACATTTTACAATCAATTGGATCTCTCTGGACAGTGACAGTCCTCATAACTTAAAAAAAAGTTCCATTCAAATATTTAAAATATTTGCTCTATTAATAATTTCATTCTTCTTACTGTAAAATTTACTAGGCCAAAGGCTTTCAGTGAGCTCTTATTTGTTCTTGTTGATACATCCCATTAAAAAAAAAAAACAATGAGATATTGTAGCACAAGTCATCTCATATGCATTCTGCTGCCAGAAGGTGGAGCTCAGGAACCGTCCTAGTTCAGTCTCGGTTCAGTTGTTTAAAAACAGAGCAGACATACATAGAGCCAGTCATACTCTAGAAGAGAACGGTTAGTCTCTCATTAGTGTAAATGTTGCTCCTGGTATTCATGATATTTTCTCTCCTAAAAGGTGAGTGATTCATAATTACTGTGGAAATGCTTTTTTCCCCTGATTTTTATACTGTTGATAATCTGAATTAGTCCACTAGAAATTATTAATTAAAAGTTGTATGTTTTTAACAGAGAATGCTGCTGATGATGTCATAAAACCAGTCTTCACAGAGAAGCAGGTTTTGGCAGGAAAAGGTGTTACACTGATCTGTAACTACACTGGCACAGTTCGCAGTTTACAGTGGTACCGTCAGTATCCCGGATCCAAACCTGAGCACCTCATTATGTTCTTTGAAACCAGCCCTAAATCAGAGCCCGCTCTCCGTCTGACCGCTGCGGCTGATAAAGCAGCCAAAAGCATGAATTTGACCATCTTTTCTACAGAAGTCATAGACTCTGCCATGTACTACTGTGCCCTGGAGCCCACAGTGACAGGAAGCAGAACTTCACTGTGCAAAAACTGAATGTGAAATTACATTCAAGATGACGATCATGATGCTCAGTTTAAAAACTTCATATATAACCATTAGAAAGAGTCAATAAACAATATACAGTACTAAAACATACTCAGCAAGTATGTAGTACATATGCAGCAAAAGTACTTAAACAACATTTTTCTATGAAAATTCTTTCCTATAATAAAGCAAGTTACCAGCTCTGAAGGTGTTGTACATAGTTATAAACATATAACAGAAAGATTGCACAGATTCAGTGTGTTCCAATCCCTGTTTAAATACAAGAGACATCATGTTTCTTCTAGGTACAGAAAATGCGGTATTCTCAGCAGATGTAATCTTTACCAAGAAGTGACTATGCTGTATTCCAAGGACGATTCTCAGCATACCCAATGACAGACCTGATACACGTTTGTAGACTATTAAATGGTAAAACTTTGTACCAAACTCTGCATGAAGACAGAACATGGAGAACTTCTGAAGTATGTGTGAAGCTGTGAAAGTAATATATGAGTGGGGGGTGGAGCTAGCTGAGGGGAAAGTCACTGCAAAACAAAAGAACGGCAACAATGCCTCTGAAGACAGAAGAGGACTTTCAGTGATCTTGAGAAATCTTCACAAAAACGATGTTTTTTCTCTGTCTGTTCATACTTTTCAATTACTTTGGTAAGAAATTAGCTTTAATTGGTTCTTGTTTTGGGGTAAAAAGACAAACTACTTCCTGTTTTTTTCTTTTAATACCAAATATTATGTGCTAAATATATATATATATATGTGTCTTTACAGGTGAAACTACTGGGTATTCAATCAAACCAGACAAAAACACCACAGAGTTAATGGAGGATACAAACATTACACTGTCATGCATATATGAAGGCTCAATAGACAGTTTGCACTGGTACCAACAAAAACCTGGATCAAGACCAGAGTTTCTAATAATGATTGATGAAGCTTCTAAATATGTGACAAAAGCCAATCCACCTTTCCCACGTCTGTCAACCAAACTTGATAAAATACAGAAACGTGTTCATCTGGAAATCTCCTCTGCAGCAGTTACGGATTCCGCTATGTATTACTGTGCTTTGAGGCCCACAGTAACAGGAAACACACGTACACTGTACAAAAACCCTTACTGTATGTAGCAATTCAGAGTGACTGTGCATTTGAAATGTAAACATTTCAGTGTGAAATGTGAAGTGCTCTATTTATTTTGTGATGCTGTCTTCAGTCTTTTCAGTGTCTGTTAGTGTGCGATTTCCAAGATGCACTACTTTGGTGTCCAGAGGGGATCTTCAGCATGGAAGACACATTTCATGGATGAATAAGACCAACAACACAACCTCAATCCCCACATCTTCAAATATTCACATCCTGGAAAGTCCTGTAAGCAGTAGCCTATATGTGGCAGCAGCTACAACGAGTGCACCAAAGTGTCCACCATTTTGGCAAGAGATTTAGAACCACATGGGGGGAAGGGGGATTATTATTACACCAAGCTTACACCCCTAGTCTTTCTGAAAAGAACCCTGAGGTTTTTACTAACCACAAAGTATGCATTTAGCACTATACAGAACCCACACAGACCACAGGATGAGCATCCTCTGGCTGATGGGCTTACTAACATAGGGTGACCAAACATTTAAGTTTTTGGGGACAATCCCAGTTTCTGGTGTCCTGTCCCTGGAAATGTCCCCATTTTACAGCATGTTCAAAACACTGCACAAACAGTGCAAAAACTTGACCAACTAGGCCGCTGGTTAGCAGGGCAATCGTGTAGCAAATATCGTCACTAATAGAGGAGGCTGAAAGCTATATGGACTACTTGATCGCACACTGCTACTTTAGCCATGAAGAATTTAACCTGAATGAGAGCAAAACACCATTACAACCAATTAACAAAAGAGACACCATTATCGGTTTCAAGGTAGTCACATAAATTAAAGTAATACTGTTTGTATGCACTATATAAAAGGACCTGAACAGGCTGCAGGATTTTGTATACAGTTTTAAACGTTCCCGAAAGTTAATTCCCAAACACACGTAACAATACCACGTGGGTGAAATATTAAGAAAATATAAATAAAAAAATCAACTAAACAATTACACTTTCAACAGTTACACTTGAAGAAAGCATATAATAATTTCTGCTCAAAGTGAGCCTAAAATGCAAAAACAATAAGCCTAAATTCAAGATAGTAAAGATTTTCTAAAACTAAAAACATTCTAAAAACATGAGAACTGTACAGTGTACACAGCGCATTCACAGTTTGTAAAAATTACATTTAAAAGGCACAATGTGTAAGATTTTTTTGTATAAATATCCAAAAGCCACTAGAACAGTATTATATATTTTGCTGACTTGTGTACTTACATTATCCCAAATGTTTCGAAGAATGTTTAAATCCAGAGAAATAAGTATTTTTAACTAGTGACACGGACCGTGTCCATAGTGTCATTGTGTCACCTGCCAATGACGTCATAACCCCTCGATTTCCGGTTTTGTTTTGTAGAAAATATGGAAACACCAAAGACGATTTAATATGTTGTGCGTTTTATTAGACCGCACAGAGTAGCATTATAACAGAACTTTTTTCCCCCAACATTCGCACGACCGGAAAGAGCGGAAGCGGTCGACTGTGGCATAATAAAAGCTCCGCTGCTTTCGAGCCGTGTGTCACGCTCGTTCAGCTGCCTCGTTTCGCTTCGACGGCTTTCAGCCTCACCCTGCTTCATTCTACTACGTTAATAAATCATTAGCTCATCCATGAACATGATTTCTGGCCGAGTCCCGTCGGATTGCATCGGCTGTGTGGATGAAGACGACAACTCCCATGATTCCACACTCA